TGACAAAAAAAACAGATATATGAGACAAAATCGCAATTTAACCAAAAAGACAATATTTATAATATAGATATATAATTGGACGATATTAAAACCCGAAACAACCAATCCAAAACAAACTAATATGCAAATAAAACAGATATAATGTCTTCTTATCTTCAAAAAATACAACAAATTTAATCATCTCATTCCGCGCAAGGCGTGGATCTAATCCTAGTTAATTAGATATAGATGAAGCAAACCAAATAATGATACCTCAAGTTGTCTGTGATTAATGAAACAATTAACTAGATTTAGATAAATTGAAACCAAATAATAATACCTCAACTTGTGTTTGCAATGATTGTACATAGTTTATAATTTCATCCAGCATCAATGCCTTTCCAGTAACCTTTCATCGTATAAACCAAAAAAATACCAAAAATAAATCCATTAGTCATCTAAAATAAGCTAATCAACAAAACTTCTCACCTTATTGCAGCCAGGAACAAGATCTTGAAGCATCTTCATCCTTTCACCAATTTTCTCCCTCCGAACCTAACACCCACATTCAAGAACTAATCAAATCAAAACTCTAATCTCATCGAAAATGCAATAAGCACAACTAATTTAAAAAAAATAATAATACTTAATTACTGAAAATCAAGCAAATGATCAAAGCAAAAGAAAAGATTTATTAATTACTCTTTCGGCGAGACTGTGACTGTCAGTGGCTTGGCCTCGTCGAGCACGAACGTGAATGTAATCTTTAGGAGGCTCAGGTGCTTTTGTGTTATCTTCTTCATCGTCTTCTCTTTTTCTTTTCCCTCCTTTTTCTTCCTCCGCCGTCTAAGAAATTTAAAAAAAATTTAAAAGTGAAGACTTTTATTTACTTTTTTGTAAAAAGCTGACTTTTCAGTGAATTGGGTTCTTCGAGAAACGTTAAAGAAAACAATGGGCTCTTTGAAAAAAAGAAAATCTGACGAAAAAGATGGAACTTTACGAGAAAATCAAGAAAATTTTATACAAAAAAAAAAAAAATCAAGAAAATTTTCCGGGAAAGTTTATGTACTACCTTTGAAAAACTTGGTGATGGTGAAGCAGTGGGAAGTGGGGTTTCCTTGGATTTAACTTTGAACGCATATTTTCTCTTCCGGGAAAATTTTCCGGCGGGAACCATCGGAGAAACAATGGTGTTAAGAGCTGGTGTGCTGGAGACACGTGTCAGCTTCCCAGAGTTTATGATCTTACAGTTGCTAACAGGGAGAGTTGAATTAGTTCTTCCGTTGAAACTCCGGCTACCAAAGCAAGAGATTCTCGCTGCTCTCTCCGCAAAACCCGGATCACCCGAGAATTCCGCCAACGGCGTCGTTCTGTTAATCATAGGCGGAGGAGAGCTCATAGGAGCTGCGGAGAAGTTTGAGTTCGACGGCGTAGGGGTGGAGACTAGAGAGCTCAAAGCAGAGTCGAAGATGCTCTGTTTTTGTTGTTGTTGTTCTGTTGACTTTTCCCACGTGAAGTAATCCTGTGGAGGCGAATGTTGAGTGAGGTTTGGATCTATTAAGGACCAGTTAAGCATCGCCGATGAAGATGACGGTTCTTGGAAATGATCTGTGTTCATAAACAGCTCGTTGTCCATACTCTCACAAGAATGAATAAATGATAGCAAGATCTTAGGTTACGTAGCAAACAATAACGGATGCTAATTGTTAAACTTCACGTAAGAGATTTCTTCAGACAAGAGGAAGTTTGGAGTGTGCCGGAGGAGAAGAAGAAGAGCGTAAGTGGTAAGGAAGTGCTCAAATGGTTTTCAGTGGGATTTATATAGTTGTGTAATATTTAATTAACCAATAAAATATGTTTTATGAATATTATATAATTAGAATTAGTAGATCAATATCAATGTGTTGCCCGGCCTTTGACGCTGAGCGATATATTGCTGATAAACTGTGTGATTGTTTTACACTAAAATTCTACATGAACATGAACAATGAATTCTTGTAATGAGGATGAAGATCAAGATTGAGAGGAGTGTCGAGTGTGGTTGATGATGATGATTATGGTGATGTGGGGGCTTCAAAGAGACTCCTCTGAACTCCCTCAAGGCCCATGAGTGAAAGAATCATTAAGCTGTGGAGAAAACGAATGATCCTCCTCGGATGTACCCTTGTTTTGTTATTCGATTATTCAAAATGCAAAGATTCACCTCCAAGACACGGGTGAAAAGAGGATGATGCATCGCCACAGAAGTTCCTTGAAGGTGAGGGCATTTTTCTTCCAGAAGATACCTCACCAGATGCTCCAGCCAACCCCATGAGAAGGTCCAAATTGGGAGCCAAGAATTCGCTGCAGTTTGGATGGAAAAAGAGTTGAAATGCTCTTGAGATGTTGGAACTGTCATCTGCATCATAACAAACCAAGTGAATATGATTTTATTCTTTCGTTGAATCTGACCAAATAAATAGCTTCTAAAGTTCTCAATTTAATTTATGATAAAGCTAACCCGTGTCATCGCTGTTGTTGCTCTCTTCATCACTTTCTTTGTCACTTTCTTCATCACCAGATGCTCCAACCAGCCCCATGAAAAGGTCCAAATTCGCCACCAGTCCAGAATTCACCTCAGTTTGGATGTACATAGAGTTGGAATCTTCTTGAACTGTCATCTGTATAATAACAAATCAAGTGAATATGATATATTTTTCTAGTTGAATCTGACAAAGGAGATAGCTTTTGAAACTAACCCGCATATTCTTCTTGCTTCTGCTGCTCTCTTCATCACTTTCTCTAAAGTCTGTTTCTGAGATATTCATGACTCGTGCGCCGCACCCTTTTATCTCTTCAAGGGTCGGATTTTGTTTGCGGCAGCCATAGCTGCCGCAAGAACACCCTCCAACATATTCATCATAATGGCGGTTATAAAACTCAAGTAGTAGAACGTTGTTGTTTAGTTCAGATGGCGAGTTAGCCACTCGATTTATTTGTAAATCTAAATTGAGCAAAACCAGATGATCCATCTCATACAAGAACGAGTAATCTTTATGACCATAAAGAAACTCTTGTTTTTGGCCTCGAAATGACTGACGAACTCTCAACAAGTTGCGTGAAGATCCAACTACGATGCAAGCTTTAACAATTATAGATTCTTGAGAAAGAGAGCTCTCAGGCAAAAGGATACTTAGGGAACTTCCACAAGCTCGATGTGTGAAATACGTAGGCACTTCTCCACCTGGTATAATGTCCATCTTTGAGTGTGATTGTATAATGATTTCTTGCGCATCTCCATCCAAATTGAAGAACTTATAGAACTTGAAAGAAGCCCCTTGCGGAAATCTGAAAGAACTAAATAAAGAAATAAAGTTAAAGATATCAAAGTGTGGCCATCTTGGTAAGTGATCACAGATTGTGGTGATTCCTCCACAGTCTGAAAAGTCCGCCGAAAGACTTTCAAATTTAAAAATCTCTGCGGAGATATTCTTTAAATGTTTGCACCGTCGCATTGTTAGTTCCCTGAGACGAGACATGTTCTTAATCCAGGAAGGAATCTCTTCAATCGCAGTGTCATCTAGATAGAGATGAATAATGCCGGTTGAAATCCGAGGAAAATCTCTCAATTTTGAACATCCACTAAGATTGAGTTCAAAAAGATTAACCAAGTTGATGTCGACTGGTAGTAGAACCTCGAGCGATGTGCACCCTTCCATGTTCAAGTGACTGAGTTTGTAGAGATCCCAAACTGAAGAAGGAAGCATCACCAAGCTTTTACAATTTTTGAGATCCAAACCCTTAAGGTTGATGACCATTGAAAGATCTGGAATTTCAACGAGGCTTTCACATCCTGACAAATTCATCCCCCTGAGTTTTTCAAGCGACTGAAAAATAAACCAGAAACATATTATGTTTTTGATTTAGAAAGGCTCTAGGTAGGAACACCAAAGATATTAATTTGACATTAACAATAATAAATAGCGATTAATTACCTTGACCCCTTCCCATATCTTCTTAAGCCTGCCACCTCTCAATTTAAGGTACTCCAGATCTTTTGGGTTGAAATTAGATGGCATACAACTCAATGGAACATCTTCCCAACAGAGTTGTGTAAGGTGAGGGATATTCTCAATCCAAGAACTATCTTCTTCTTCTAATGCAGTTTCTTCTAGGTAAAGCCGTGTGATGTTCCTTGATATACAAGGAAACGTTCTCAACTTTGAACATCCATTAAGATTGAGGAGTTTAAGAGATTCCAAGTCGACATCAGCTGGCAGAAACTTAAGGTTTGAGCATTTCGACATGTCCAGTTCATACAGTTTACTGAGATTTCCAATTGAGGAAGGAAGTGTCACCAAAGATGTGCATCCCGAAAGATTCAATGAACCCAGTCTGCTGAGATTCCCAATTGAGGAAGGAAGTGTCACCAAAGATGTGCATCCCGAAAGATTCAATGAACCCAGTCTGCTAAGATTCCCAATTGAAGAAGGAAGTTTTACCAAAGATGTGCATCCAGTAAGCAACAATTTATGCATTGCAAAGAGATTCCCAATTGAGGAAGGAAGTGCCACCAACGATGAGCAGTTAGTAAGATCCAGTTGAGACAATTTAAGATTCCCAATTGAGGAAGGAAGTTTCACCAAAGATGTGCATCCAGTAAGCAACAATTTATGCATTGCAGTGAGATTCCCAATTGAGGGAGGAAGTGCCACCAACGATGAGCAGTTAGTAAGATCCAGTTGAGACAATTTAAGACTCCCAATTGAGGAAGGAAGTTTCACCAAAGATGTGCATCCCGTAAGCACCAATTCATACATTGCAGTGAGATTCCCAATTGAGGAAGGAAGTGCCACCAACGATGAGCAGTTAGTAAGATCCAGTTGAGACAATTTAAGATTCCCAATTGAGGAAGGAAGTTTCACCAAAGATGTACATCCCGTAAGCACCAATTCATACATTGCAGTGAGATTCCCAATTGAGGAAGGAAGTGCCACCAAAGATGAGCATCCCATAAGCTTCAATTTCTTGACATTTACGGCTTTTGAAAGATCTGGAATCTCTTTCAAATCTTTAGAAGAACTCAAATCCATCTCCTTCAAACTTCCAAGAAACTGACAAATAAAAGGGAAATCAATACAAATTGTATTTATTAACTGAAATAATGCAAATTACAATTTGGTCAAGTTTGTTTTTGATGCTGGAAGATGATCTAAATGCACATTTTCAAAATTGTTTCTTTGGACACTATTGCATTGCATCTTGATGAAAAATCTTGAGCATATAAAACATAAATATCTGAGATGTAAAAAAATTGTATAGTTTAGATGCAAAACAATTATCTCAAAATCCAAATCTTGTTAATATCCTTCAGTATATATATAAAAGTTCAAACCGGAAATCATGTTTCCACGTGAAAACCAAAAAGTTAAGATTTCCGTCAAAATTGTAAATCACATATTCCCATCAAAACCATAAAAATAAGTTGTTTGTCAAACTTAAAAATTACGTTTTATGTCAAAACCATAACATCGATTTTTTTCCACCAAAATCACAAAAGCATATGTTATCTCCCCAAGATTCTAATACTGGGTTTTTTGTAGAAAATCGAATTGAAGTTTTCCGTCAAAATCGTATAATTGAATTTTTCTGCAGTGTTTTTAACCTGAACTGACAGCCATACCAGATTAAACCATGAACCGGACAAGAGTCGGGGGTCGGTGGATACAAACCTGATTTGATTGTAGATTACTAATGATGAATAAAAATTTATATTTGATAATACTCACTATTTTGAATTTTCATAACTCATTATAATAGATATTCAATGACAAAATATAATTTTATATTTGAATTTAATATATTAATTTTATATTTGATTTTAATTTGGTTTATACTTCAAATTTACAAACTTATTTCTGTTCAAAAATTAAATTAACTTAATTATGTTTACCAAATGATCTATCTTTAATTTTAGTTTTTAATTTAAATTAATTCCAAAAAAAATTAAATTAACTTAATTTAGTTGAACCCGGTCTAACACTATTAATCCCTGACCCAAAAAATTTCATATTCAGTTACCCGTCTATTTTTTAAGATATTTATTTTCTGCAATATTGCAAAAGTGAGCTTTTTGTCACACTCATAAAATTGAGATTTTCTGTCAAATTCTAAAATCAAGTTTCTCACCAAAATTGAAAATCAAGTTTTTCCTTCAAACCCACACGATCAAGTTTTCAGCCAGAACCATAAAATTAAAATTTCCCTGTAAAAGTGCAAAGTCATACTTTCATCAAAACCACAAATCATGTTTTCCGGTATAACTGCAAAGTCATGTTATGTAAAACCTTCATATAGAGTTTTCCCAAATAAATCAAGTGTTTTCTCCAAAACAATCACAAAATCAAATTTTAATGCCAAAATCGTGAAATTAAGTTTTTCAGCCAGACTTATAAAATCTATTTTTCACAAAACTGCAGAATCAGGGTTTTTCACCAAAACTATGAAATCATGGTTTTCACCAGAACTGCAAAATTATTGTTTTCCTGCTAAACCACAAAATTATGTTTTTCCGCTATAACCGTAAATTCATGTTTTTCAACCAAAACCACAAAAAAAATTTTTTAACCATATCCGCAAAATCATGTTTATCGCTAAAACTGTAAAATCATGATTTCAACCAAAATTTGTATTTTTCGCAATAACCATAGAATTATATTTTTTTCAAACAAAAATGCAAAATCATGTTTCTGCTAAAACCACAAAATCAAGTTTTCTGCTAAAATTAAAAAAAAAAATCATATTTTCTGATAAAGCTGTAAAATCATTTTTTGTCCAAACCAAAAGTTATAATTTTTAATAAAATTCGTAAGATCAGAATTTTATTTTAATACAATAATTTTATTTTAATATTAAGGTGTTGCATTTAGTTGCTACATCTAAATACAAGAACGAACATAGCCTTTATTATTTTTAAATGGAAAACTCAATAAATCATGTTAAAAGTAATACCTGAATTCCTTCCAACTTCTCAAGCTTACTATTCTGCATTTTGAGTTCAACGAGACATTCCGCTCTGAAGTTAAAAGGCATAGACTTGGATGGATATTTATCCCAACGTAGAAATCTGAGTTTGCGTGGAAAATGATGCAGGCAATCAGGTAAAGACAATCTGCCTTCACCAGTCTCCCTTGACCACCAGGAATTGTAGAAGTTTAGAAGTTTCAGATTACTCATTCTTTGAAATGAATTTTCATCTATAACCAATGGGTCGGAAATGTTGATTTGTGACATGTTCAAATCCATGGCTAGAGTATTCTTTGTGCCCTGGAATAAAGAAAACAAAAATCCTCATTGTATCTTAGCAATCCTTATATTGATCAAACACCAAATAACAATCACAATACAGAGCCGGTCTAGCATGAAAACCATATGTAAAAACTCACAGTATAATCGGTAAGAATATTACGTATATCCTCAGCTTCCGTCAAGAACCTACGATTGTCGATGGGATCTGCACGATTGATTTCTTTACCCAACTTCTGTAATAAACTGTGCATTTGAACAAATTCTGTTGATACCCTACGTATTAGGGACTTGTCATTCAGTATTTTGAGCCCAATTTCAGCACTATCTCCAAGCAAGTTTTTTAAGAAATTGACGTAACGACCCTCGGATAAGCATGCAATGCAGAGGAACAATTCTTGCTCTTCGACATCTAACCTATCATAGCAGACTTTTAGTGTACTCATGATTTTCCCATTCAAACTATTCAGGAGCCTAGGCATCATCTTCACCCACTCCTCCTTCTGCAACCCTTTCAACGACGAACCCAAGACAGTTAGACCTAAAGGGAGATTACTTGAATGCAATGCAACTTTCCACGCGAGTTCTTTGAAACCATAAGGCGGAGAGTTTTTCCCAAACGCAGACCGGCAAAACATCTGCATAGCCAAATCGTTCGATGGGAGCTCCACCTCATAAATAAGCTCAATCTTTTGAGACTTTAGAAGTCTCTTATCTTGAGTTATCACAACGATTCTGCTCCCGGATCCGACCAAACTAGTTTGATCCATCATCAAGGTGTTTAGCACTTCAACATCATCCACATCATCAACGATGATAAGAACTTTCTTATGCATTAGCCTTTGTTTTGCCACACCTGGATG